CCGCCACCGCCACCGCCGCCGGGGAGGAGGAGAATGAAGGACAAACAGAAGAGGAAGAAGGAGCGCACGTGGGCTGAGGCCGCGCGCCTGGTGAGACCGGCCTCCGAGGGGGGCTCAGTGGAGGGGGCAGCGTGGGGGTGGGCTCGCCGCGCACCCCCACGAGGAGGGGGAGGGGCGAGGCCCTGCCCTCCATGGGAGGGGGCGGGGCAACGAAGGCTTCCTTTGGAAACGGGACAACCCCCCCGAAAGCGCGGGCTGGGGAGGGGGTCCCCCGCCGGGACGGGCTGTGGTGCTCTTTTCAGCACGCCCCCCTCTAAATTCCTGAGGAGGGGCGAGCCGGCAGCCCTGCTCCTCCCCCTAAGGGCGGCGGGGCCCCAGCCTCCCCTCCCCCCACGAATTGGCGGCGTCTGGGGGTCTGGGGAAGCTTCGTTTATTCTCCCGGGGGAGTTGGGTGACCAGGAAGGGTCGGAAGTACCTCCGTTGCTGCCTGGTGGGTAATGGGGTGGTTAGTTTGACTCCGGAGGGGGGGAAACCCCCAATTTCAAGGACGTGGTGGCATTTTGAGCTTTCCCAATTTAAACCAGGTGTGTGGAAGGAAGCAAGTGCTCACTCCCAGCTTGAACCCCCGAGCCAGTGGTTATCAAACTTTAGTGTCCTATGGGGACATCTGGGAGGTTGCCAGAAATGCTGGTTTTAGGGCCCCACTTCAGACAGGCTAACTTTTAAGATTCTGAGGTAGAGCCTGAGAACCTGCATTTTAACCAGCTTCCTAGGTGATCCAATGCAGGTGGCCCACAGACCACGCTTGGAGAAACGCTGACTAGAGTGTTTTCCTTCCCACGCTAGAACCACGACAGGCAGTTGGGAGAGAACTGACCACACTTTTCAATGAATGTCTGTGTGTGTTCTCCGTTCCTCGGTGTCCTGGTGCATGTGTTAGACAAAGACAGAGTATCTCTGTTTGAAGATAACTGCTTAGCAAAGGAGAGAGTAATTTGAGTGTTTGAAGCTGCCTGGTGAGGGGGGTTGTGAATTTTCTGTTTTCAAAGCCTCAGAGGACTTGTACGTGAAATATGTCTCCTTTTGGATTTGTACCCACAAAGCTAAAACGCTTTGAGACATGTTCTTGTAAAATCTTGCTGATGACAATAGTAACAGGTTATACTTCTCCCAGAGATGTCACTTCCTCAGAACTGTCACAGAGCAAGGTTATTGTGCAGATAGTATACTTGTCTTTTGGCACGGTGTAGTTTATATGTAATTGCTGTAATTCACTTTTAATGATGAATGAAGCTCAACCTTCTAATCTTTCATTTTATGGGGAAGTAAGTGAGGTTCTTACCTTATAGGTGTTGTGCAGAGGAATATGAATATGTGTTGGGAGTTGATATAAGCCTAGGGTACATCTTTTTCTTTCTTGGAGCCTTTAAGACTCAGTTATTGATTTCCAACCAAAGATGTTTTGTCCGTAGACATATTTTCGTTGGAGTTCCTGATTTGCTCAAGGGACAGACATAGCAGTTGTTTGTATGTGGAAGTTTTGTGTTTCTGTTAATTTGGTTTGGCATGTGAAATTTGATGATTCTGAAGTTCCTAAATTTTTTTTTTTTGTGATTCAATCAAAATTGGAAGTTTTTGGCTAACTTTCAGAATTTCTTGGAGATTTCAGGACTTCTCTAATGTTGCTTCACCCGGAAACAAATTTAGGCCTGAAGGGGAGTAGGGGAGAGCCAAAAGGATGTGTTCTCTTTCTTCTTTGAGTTTGAGTCTTGGGTGTTCATTGAAACTCTCCTCTGAGTTCCTGTTATGCAGGTGTTTATGACTCTGGGCATGCAAAGTTAGTTTACTTGCCAGAATTTTACTTGTTAGAGGTAGGGGAAAGTACTTTTAAATCCTGTGTTATTTATGTCCTGACAAAATTCTGAAATCTGTTTGTCTCAAAATTCCGCTGGCTCTTACTAGTAGTTGAAAGACTTTGGGAATTTGGGGTACATTGCTGTGTTAAGCCCGTTTAGGTGTTTGAATTTGCTGTGATCTGAGCTCTAGCATCCAGGTTGCTATTTTCTGTTTTATCATTGAATCAACTTCATGCCAGATGTTCATTAAAAATAGGAATTACTTTATGGTGGATTTATACACGGGAAAGAGGACTTGTAAGAATGTGGTGTGTAATTTTGCGTGTCTTTTATGTGTCTTTTAGTTTTCATCCCTTTGAATGAGACCTGTTGGTGATTATGAGGAAACTTTTTAGAGTCCTCTCTGCACTTTCTTAAGTTTGCTGTAACACAGTACTGGAGAGTTTGTGAATGTTGGACAGAGAAGCCTGACTAGGAGTGAGCTGTAGAGGTAGGGCAGTTAGATCACCTGAACACTTCTCTTTGAACAGGTGAATTTGGAGTGGGTGTTATGGCAGTCAGATGCATTTGCTTGGGGCAGTTTCAGATTTCTTCTGGCCTTCCTCAGATTGGTGGCTTGGATGAAAGTGGTAGCCTTAAAAAAAAACAAAAAAAAAAAACTATTTCAGTAGAGGAAGGAGGTGAATTCTGGAGAATTTCAGTAGAATGGTGTAGTGTACTCCAGGAGATTGATTTTTGCAGATGTTAATTATGTTTTGAGAAGTACTAGACGTTCTTTTTTCAAACATTTTGAAGTGTCTTTTCTAGATGTAAGAGGTAGACTTCAGGAGGTTGGGTGGGTATAAATCCTCCTGCTGTTATGTTATGAGCAATTTGTTTGGGAGAAGATAGCTGAGGGGATTTCCCTTCAAATTGAGTGCCCTTAAATGGATTCTCTCTGGCTTTGAGAAACTCTTCATTGCATGCTTTATCTTTCACTTTGATTCATGACTGACCATTCTTACATCAAACATTTTTTTCCCCTTTGAAGTAGGACAAGCGATACTTGAAAAAAAATAGTGTACTTTTTTTTTTTTTTTTGGTACACTAGGAATAGAACACAGCTGAATTGTTCTTACACTAAAAGCTGGGAGCATATACAATTTTAATAAAAGTGAATACTTTATCTTTTGATGTAACTTCTCTTTAGAGATTTACTTGCTTTAGATTCTCAGGCTCTTCCTGACTGCTGCTTAAATAACTGGTAGCTATTTTTTTCAGTCATGCTTCTTAATAAACCAAAACAAACCAAAAAAAAGCCCACCCTTCAAAAATTACCTAGCTCAGCTCACACTTAATTAGTATCAAAGAAATGATATCTTGTGGCAGTGAACACTATTAGTTTTTGCAGGTTTTATTGTGGGTTTGTTCAAGTCAGCATTGCCTACTTTGTTAGTTGGTTACATTCTTGGAATACAGAGATGGATGAGGATTGCCCCTGAGGAGCTTATGATGTTCTGGGGGTGGGGAGGATCCAGACACATGAATAGAATTTCATTACAGGCATTGGTAACTGCCATCACAGATGTATAGAATAGGGTGAACAGACATCCTGGTTCCTGCCTGTTGTCCTTTCACTCTCCAGTGTCTTGGTTTGGAAGATAAATTATATGTGTTGTGAAACTATGGGGACACTGAAAAGACATTTAACTCTGCCTGGCAGAAACCAGAGAAGGCTTCCTGGAAGAAGGTGTTTTCTAAACTGACTCATGAAGGGTGATTAGAAGTTAGCCTCATCACAGAGGGCATGAGCAGGAGCTGGTGACAAGAAATGGCGCTGAATGTGTGCTTATTTTGTATGCATTTGCAGGGCAGAGAGTGTGGGAGTGGGGAGGAACTACAGATAGTTATTGGAGCATAAAGTTTGTAGGGTGTCAGTTTGGCAATCAGGCAGAGACCAGATTGTGAGGGTCTTTTCTTGTGTGCCATGCCACTAAACACCTACTCTGTGCCAGGCACTGTATATGTAGGCAGTTACATTATTTCTAATCTTGTAAAACAACTCAGAGGAAGACATTAGTATCTTTACTTCAAAAGTGAGGCAACCAAGGCTCAAGTTGGGTAGGTAACTTTCCCAAGATTAGAAGGCCAGAATTTGAATCCAGAGCTGTCTGGTTCTAAAGCCTGTGCTTTTCCAGTGGACCAAGCTGGCTCTGGAAGCTTCAGCTTTGCTGTATATGATTAGGGAGATGTTAAAGAATTTTAAAGCAGCAAAGTGATAGGACAGGTTTGCTTTGTTGGGGTCACCTCAGGCTGTAGCTCTGTCAGAGCAGGGATTTGGTCTTGTTTAGTGATGAATCCCTAGAATCCTGCCTGGCCCAGAGCGGGTACTCCATTTATTTGGTGAATGAAGGATGGTAGCAGAGTAAGAATGGGATTTAAGGAAAGCAGAGCTGGACACAGGGATAGGCTGTTGTGTTGGGTCAGGTAAGAGACTGACTGTGAGTCCTCGGGGAGAGATGAGAGTGAAGGATGATGCCTTGGTTTCTGGTTTAGGAGACTGGACAGGCTGCCAACCAAGGTAGGATAAGAGTGGATCTGGAGGTTGGGAATTCGAGTCTACCCAGAATCACTATGAGTTGGAGTTGACTTAGTGGCAAGTGATTTTGAAGTCCCTGGGTGGTGCAGGCGTTTAAGTGCTTGCCCACTAACTGAAAGGTTGGTGGTTCAAGTTCACCCAGAGGCACCTTGGAAGAAAGGCCTGGCGGTCTACTTCCAAAAACTCAGCCATTGAAACCTTATGAAGCACAGTTTTTCTCTGACACACATGGGATTGCTGTGAATCTAAATCGACTCGATGGCAACTGATACGTTGACGATTGAGGAGGGGTGTCCAGCACAGAATTGAACATTTGAGTCTGAAGCTTGGGGAGAAGTCAAGGCTAGAGGTAGAGATTTGGGAGTTATCAGTATTTTGGTGGTACTTGAGACTATAAGAGACTATAATGTTACCTAAGGAGAATATGAAAATTGAGAAGAAGGAGACTCAGAATGGGACCATGGTAAATAGAGGTTTTATTTTAGCATCTACTTCTCCTACTGCCAGAAGAACAAACAAATCTGTCTTAGAAGAAGTACAGCCGGAATGCTCCTTAGAAGCGAGGGTGGCGAGACTTTGTCTCACATACTTTGAACGTGTTATCAGGAGGGACCAGTCCCCGGAAAAGGACATCATGCTTGGTAAAGTAGAGGGCCAGCGAAAAAGAGGGAGACCCTCAGTGAGATAGATTGACACAGTGGCTGCAACAGTGGGCTCAAACATACCAGTGATTGTGAGGCTGGCGCGAGACCGGGCAGTGTTTCGTACTGTTGTACACAGGGTTGCTACGAGTCCGAATGACTTGACGGCACCTGACAACAACACTTCTCTGAACACTGACTTCCTTTAGTGCTAAAGGTTTATATTCTTCTATAGGACTGCTGCTGAAGATACTCTCTGTGAGGTTTCTTGCTTTACATTTTATTTGTGACAGAGCAATACTTGGTTATTATAGTTGTTAAAGACTGTAAGATGTTAGTTTGATTTGGAGTAACCTCAGCAGCTGCACAGGAAGAGAAAATACAAAGATATTGACAGCCTTTTCCCCCAACTTAGAAGAATAGCATTTCTAAAACAACTCAACTTCTTAGAGTAAGAGAGCTGCTATTAGATCACTAAGAAAATATTGCCGTGACTTATAGATGATACTAACATAAATGGGCCATTACATTTCTCATGGTTTTGTTTGCATCGGTTGCCTGAAATTATAGCATCACGTTGCCAGATTGCAAAATGTACTGCGGCAGTAACACCAGAATTTCACAACACAGTGGCAAAAGCACTATATAAAAATATGGGCACTAATCAAACTTCCTTAGGAAAGAAAACCTGAATACTCTTCTGTCTTAATTTATCAGGCAGCACTATGTATTCTGTGGTTTAGCCACATTAACAAGGTCAGGTTAAGTACTAACCAGGGTTACTAAGGCCCCACATACCATAACATAAATGTTATGCTATGTATGTTACATATATACATAACATGTTTGCTAAGAAGATGTGTGTTCTTAGAATTGAGAATTAGCTAGCTGCAGTCACTTCCAGTAACTGGATATATGTATAATTTGGTTTCTAAAGTAATTTTAACTGGAAAAACAAAATTGTCACTGCTGGTACCTCCTAGCAGGACGGTAGCCCATAATACAGATTGATGCATGTAAATGGAAATTGCACACTGAATCAGGACGTTTGTATTTCTTCAGGTATTAGAAAACTACTCGGATGCTCCAATGACACCAAAACAGATTCTGCAGGTCATAGAGGCAGAAGGACTAAAGGAAATGAGGTTTGTATTGATCTTGTTGCTTAACGTGAGAGTTTCATAGGACGTGTCTTTCTATAGTTATGTAGCGATATGAGTATACATGTGTATTTATGTGTGCTCGTGTGTCTGGTGGTGGTGTTGAACTATCTCCCGGGTTGTGTCCTATGAGTGGTGTGTGGGAGTGGGTGAACATCCATTTGTTTTCCTCAGAGATCTGGTGGCTCTCCCCATCCTTGCTTCCTCTTGAGTCTTGGACATGGAGCTTGTTTTTTGTGTAAGACATTAGGGCACATTCTCTCTCGTACTTTGTTTCAGTAATAGAGAAGGGCCAGACCCTGATATGCTGTAGCGTGTACCCCTCTACACTGTACCTCTGAAGTCCTTTCTTTTATGATCAAGAGTGGTCTTATCAGTACAAAATCACTGGCTTTTTTCCTTACTGATTCTAGTCATTCATGGTAGGAATATGCTAAATTTTGAGGTGTCCTTGATTTTTCTTCTTATGTAGTTTTCATAGAGAAGCAATAAGTTAGAAATATAATAAGTACAATAGGAACTGTAAGCATGAAAATTAGTGATTGTCTTTAATACTACTTTCTCGTCACCCTCACCCCCCCAATTTTTTTTTTTTTTTAAACGAGGAAGAAGGGGAGCATAACACAGTCCCAGAACAAACATGTATGTTTTGCTGGTCAAGCTTTAGCATGTTGAATTGACCTATTAGGGTCAAAAGGTCTTTACTTTCCAGTTGTCAGTTCAGATACTCTTTAGAGTTAATATTTTGTGGGGAGGGAAGATCAGGATTGTCTAGATTACGTACATTTAAATAGTAGCTGTGCACTGTTATAATTGTGCTTTATTTTTGTTTTTATGGGCTATTTCCCATCATGCTGCTGTCTGCACTGCTGTTGGACCACTATACCTATAGAAGGTAAATTAGTCCCTTTGGGACAGATGGAATTGAGAACCTTAACTTGTTTCTGCTTCTTCATCTTATAGGAATTATGAAGCAGTCATGGTGGCTTGTGATGAGTGAGCAGCTCTGTGATTTGTAGACAGAAGTACAGTGTGTAGGAGTCAGATTGTTTGCAGGAGGACTCTGCCAGCATGTAGTTTCCCTTGTAGCAGAGATGTTAGCACACCCACTTGATACTCCAGATTCTGCACAAGGCTTCTTATAGAGACAGTGGTTCTTGAACGTTTTTTAGCAGCCAGTGTGTTGCAAAGCAGAATAAGTAATAGGTTTTTTTAATGGCTTTTTTAGAATTAGAATTTATTTTTAACACTCTGCATAAATTAGGACCTCTAGTTCTAAAAAATGCTAAGAGGCTTTACTGAAGATATATTTTTTTTTTACCACGCTGGGGAGAGGGAAGGAGGGGTACACAGGTGATTCCTAGCACTAACATGCAAGGGTCAAACTTAGTTAATAATGGGCATTTGTCTATTTTTGATAGCTTTTTTAAGATTTAGTAAGTAGCATCTGTCTCACTGAGTTGTCATTGTTTTGCAACCTACAGTTGGGTCAGGGACCATGAAACCACTTAATATGCCTTCTTTTTTGGTTTAACGTTTGAACGTTAGCCAAACCAAACCAGTTGCTGTCGAGTCGATTCTGACTCATAGCGACCCTGTAGGACAGAGTAGAACTACTCCATAGGGTCTCCAAGGAGTGGCTGGTGGATTTGACCTGCTGACCTTTTGGTTAGCAGCTGTAGCATGCTGCAGCTCTTAACCACTGCGCCACCAGGGCTCCGTTTGAACATTACTGGGTTTTAAATCTGATTTATATTTCTTTATATGTTCAAATTTAAATGATTTCTCTTGGGTTGGTATAGAATAAAACTCACCCTCCTCTCCTCCCTCAACAGAGAAAAAGAAAATGAAATACTATTCTTTTTGTGTACTTATTAGGAAATATTTAACAGAAAAAAGTGTTCTTGTTTTATTTGGACAGCATCATTGATTCTGTGGTCTTTGTGCTGATAATGTTATGTGGCAATTTCTGAGCATGATATGCAGGTTAAAATGTAGATGCTAGGAAACTCAGTTTTCCTTTTAATTAATACTAAGATTTAATTTTTAAGATTTTACTGAAACTTAATACTAAAATATTGGGTAATGTGTTTTTTTCAAAACTCCTGAGTGAACTTGGGGGTTTTTAACTAAATTTCTTAGGAATATGGTTCATATTGTCAGTGGTCACTAAAGAAGTGTTGAGTATGGAGTTGGGGGTATCCTATAACATGTCTTATCCCAGAGCTCATTGGGTGTGATTTATGTAAATTTTATTTGGCTATTCTTTTACTGCTTTCATGGTAGAATCATTGTCATGGATCTTTTCTGTATTTTTTGTTCCCTTTTTTTTTGATTTAAGAATGAGTTGGGAGGGTGTTAGTTAGGACTTGGAACAAGTGACGTATGCATTTGTATGACTCTCATTCATCCTTTTGTGTTTTTACAGTGGGACATCTCCTCTCGCGTGCCTCAATGCCATGCTACATTCCAACTCAAGAGGAGGAGAGGGGCTGTTTTATAAACTGCCTGGCCGAATCAGCCTTTTTACACTCAAAGTAAGTAATATAAACTATGTTTTAGTGCAGCAATTCTCAAACTTTTAGTGTGCATAAGGGTCACCTGGAGTGCTTGTAAAATACAGATTCTTGGGCCCTACCCCAGAGATTCTGAATCAGTAGATCTGGAGTGGGGCCCAAGAATTTGCATTTCTAGTAAGCAGTCAGGTGATATTGATGCTATTTGCTCCTAAATGACACTTTAAGTGGGGTGTTTTAGTGTGAACAGGTTATTAGGAATTATTTAGTCAAATCAGCTGTTGTCTCTATATTCTGCTTTTGCTTGTCTGTGTCTTTGTAGCTGGTACAAAATTAAGGGATAAGTATGTGCGGGGGTAATTGTAACTGTGCCTTAATTAGGATTTTGTTTGTATTAATATTGTGAAGGATAAATTACTGGGCAGCTGAAGTAAGGTCTACTGTCTGGAAAATAACTGAAGTGTGAACCTATTTGTGGAAATTCAAAAGCTCATTTGCATTTACTAAGTGATACTAATTACAAAGGAAAGAACTTAAATCAGGTAGACTTTATGATAAAGCTTAAATAGGCCTGAAATGAACAGGTTAATTTTTTTCTACTGTTTGTGATGTATATGGCTATCATTTAGACCAGAGGTCAGCAAACTTAAAAGAGCTAGATAAAACATATTTTAAACTTTGTAGACCAGTACAGTTGTAACTACTCAACTCTGCTATTGTAGCAGGAAAGCAGCCATAGACAATACACAAACAAATGGATATATTCCAATAAAAGTATGTTCCTGTAAAACTATTTACAAAAACAGATGGCAGGCCAGATTTGGCCTGCAAGCTGTAGTTTACCAACCTCTGATTTAGACATAAGATGATCTGTTGACAGTGGTGACAGTAAGAATTTGATGCTAACCCTCATACTCTCCCATAATACATTTATAAATTGTGGTAGTCAGTATATAGACCTTTCCGTTTGAGTTTTGTTTTATTAGTAAACTGTATTAATTAAAATTAAATACTTGAGCAAATACCAATTATATAACTGATTAGTCATAAACTTCGGTCTTTATGTATACATCAGATGAATCTTATGTTCAGATGTTTTCGCTGTTTATTGTTTTTATTTCTAATATTTTGGACTTTTTCCCCTTTTATCCTTGTATACTTTTATTGTTAAGAGGCAGCATAGTGTAGTGTCAAGAACTGAGCCTTGGGAGAGACGGAGTCCTGAGCTCAAAACCTAGCTTTGTAACCTCGGAGAGATGTAGCCCTTTTTATGGTGGTGTGTGCATCCCTGGCACAAGTCAGTACTTAACAAACGGTAGCCTTTATAGTATTCTTTTAGGTTCTTCATCCTTAATTGCCTGTTAATGGCATTTTTCTATTTCATTTGGGGTTAAAAGGAAGGAACATACGTTTTTCTATGAGCACCTTGAGGATAAGAACTGAGTTTTATTTATTTTTTCATAATTTGCCCTCTGGGTAGAATTCTTGGGATAGTTCCTGCTCAATAATTGAACTGAATTATATTTCTTCATTTTAATTTTAATGTATCTTTGAGTTATATTTTTTCCTGCCTTATTTTCCTGCCTTATTTATGAGCTTTCATTTTTCCATGACAAACCTCTGAAAGCACCATTGTATGAATCTGTTGTATGCCTGGTGTCTGCTTCTCCCAATCTGCAGCCTGTGTCTGAGATGCATTGACTGAAGAAGATGTGCTTATTTGTGTATCATCTTCTCTGCCTTCAACCTTGTGTTACTTATCCTTCTTAGCATGTTGCTCATTGGAGTTGTACGTCAGCAAGCATCACTTCTCTGATATTTGTTGTGCTCTCTTTGGATTAATCGTTTGCTTGACTGGTTCCTCCAATTAGACTGTAAACCCCTTTAGGGCAGAGTCTATGTCTTACTCGTTTCGGTATCCACAGTACTGGGTGTAAGTAGCCGTCTATAAATGTATATTTAATGAATAAACTAGTGAATAATGGCTTCATTGTAGTACTTCATTATTATCCTTTTGTTATCTGACATGTGATGATAAATTTTGCTCATAATTGTGGTGAAACTGTTCATAGATCTGCCTCTGGCATCTAGCTCAAATCTCAAAGCCAAAATGAAGGGTGCATACAGCTGTAGCTTTGGTAGAATTTTAGCTTGTTTAATGATATCTCTGTGTGTGTGTATGTCTTGACGTGTTTGACCTGGTAGAAAAGCAATATATGCTTATGTGGAAAATGTAGGTTTCTAACAGAAAGCGAAAGTAACCTATAAAATTCTGCCACCTGTAACCACTCTTAGCAATATATTATTATTCCAAACAAACAAAAAAACCAAACCCCTTGCTGCCAAGTCGATTCCGACTGTATCGACCCTGTAGGACAGAGTAGAATTGACCTATAGGATTTCCAAAGAGTGGCTGGTGGATTCGAACTGCTGACCTTTTGGTTAGCAGCCAAGTTCTTAACCACTGTGCCACCAGAGCTCCATTATTACTCCAGATGTTTTATATTAATAACAATTTAGATGATTAATAAATTAATAAAGAATTGGATCATACTCCTTATAGCTTTGCTTCTTGCTTTATTCAGTTAATATATTTTAAACCACTTTCTATGATGGTACATACAGATATACCTTAATATTTTTAAAGACTTTTACAGGATTCCAGGTTATGAATGTGTAGTAATTTATTAGCCTCTTGTTAAAGTCCTCATCAATACCACACTGTCTCCCAGAAGTTGTGCAGGTATTTTCTTTATTGCTATTCAGGAATGGGTGAGAAAGGATACTAAAAATCTGAACCAGCTGATTACATCTTGTTTATCCGAGAACCTGGGTGTGTCCAATAAACACCTGAGTCTGAGGTGGTGTTACGTACATTTTTTTTTTCTTTTTTTATCCTTCAGGTTTTTATTTTGAAAAATTTCAAACCTATAGAATAACTGAAGGAACACTATAGTGAACATCCTACCCATATAACTTTCACCTAGAATTACTGTTTGTTACAGATTTGTCACATTGGCTTTAATCCTTTGCTACATATGTATGCATTTTTTCAGAACTATTGGAAAAGGTTAATAAGTACAGACCTGACATTTTACCCCTAATTTTTTGGAATGTATGTCTTAAGAATAAGGGCATTTTCCTACATAACCCTAATATTATCATTCTTAAGAAACTTAACATTGATAGAGTAGTATAAAATATATAGTATTCAAATTTTTCTCTAACTGCTCCAAAAATATCCTTTATAGCTTATTTTAAAATCTAGCATCCATTCCAGGATCATGCATTGCATTTGGTTGTCATATCCCTTTAACCTTCTTTAAAGTAGACCAGTTCCCTTACATTATTTTGTTTTCATGACATTGACATTTTCAAAGAGTCCAGTTGTCTTGTAGAATTAAATACATTTTTAAGGGACTCATAAGAGTGTAGAAATCCTGGTTTCTACACTAGACTCTCCTAAGTTTGCACTTCCTAGATGATGTCTGTTCTAGGTTGTGGCCAAAAGCCACTCAGCAGCGAAGAATGTAATGGGATGTTTCGCACAGTGATCTACATAGGGGTAGTTTGGTCAGGATCTTGTCTGAAAAAAGGGACAAGACACATATTATTTAGCTCATATTTCTCATTTTTCTTTTGAAAATGGTAGTGACACCTTTGAAATCTGGGGACATTTTCCTCGTCTAAGATTTTCCCCTGTGTTCAGGAAAGGCATGTGCAGAATGACTTGGTAGTTTTTCTCCTCCCTGCTTGGAAGTCTCTTCTGGTGGGCCATCCAGTTCAGAATTATACTTATCTATGTGGCTTTGCTACTTATTTGAAAACAGGAATTCTTTCAGTTCTGGATACATTTGTGTGGCTTTATCCATGATTAGGGTAGAGTATTTGGCCATGCCATCGGATGCCTTCTCGATGAAAGTTGTTCTGGGTGATGTCATGGTACGTCTGATACTATATATGGATGCTTGCATCAGTTCTTAGAGCTAGTCTTCAGGAGTGGATAGGTTAGAGGAAACGTATTCTTGCTTTTAATTCTTGATTTAAATTACTTCCTTAAGCTTTTCCTGATGTCAGTTGTCAGTGTTGATCATTGCCTAGTTAGAGGTGGGATTTATATTGTTCTTTGAACTTGGGATTTCCTATCCTCATGAAACAACTGTGTGCTCCTTGTAGTGTTCTGCTTTCTTAGGACTTTCATGCTAAACTGCTACGCTTTTGTGACTGAGTGAGTGTGTCACTGGTGAGTTTAAACTGGGTTGGTGAATGTCATTCCAGTATTCACTGTCAGGCATAACTGCAGTCATCTGAACATTATTCAGTTTTGTTTTTGCTCAAATTGAGATGTCACTCATGGCTATTTGCATTTTATTACACCCCTTGTGGCAACATAGGACTCAGCCTTCGCGGTCTTTTTAAATTCAATTAACAAGCTCAGTTGAACCTCTCTAATATATGGAATATAAAAAAAGTGTTAAAAAATCTTCTCAGTAAAAGAAATAGATGACTACATTTGAGTATCCATCTGTTAAAATCCACAGTTTGCAAGTAAGAGAAAGGAAAAAGCAAATGGGGAAAGAGAGAGAGGTAATTATTGCATTCTCACATTGTTGTTCAAGTAAATAAAATTAAAATACTCGTGCACAACTCTTGTGTTGTTGTTGTGTGCTGTGGAGTTGATTCTGACTCACAGGGACCCTATGGGACAGAATAGAACTGCCCCCATAGGGTTTTCCAGGCTGTCATTTTTATAGGAGCAGATCTCCAGGTCTTTTTTTCCCGTGGAGCCACTGGTGGGTTAAAACCACCAACCTTTAGGTTAGCAGCTGAGCACTTTACCACTGTACCACCAGGACTCTTGCACAGCTCCATACTTAGAGTGATTTCAGAACTATTTGTATTGCCATTAGATACCAAGAAGAGAACGAATAGGATAAGCCTGGGCTTAGATACAATAAAATGATAGAGTTTTTACCATTTGAGAGACGATATCAGAATCCGTTTTGATTTTTGATAGGTGC